CCCCAGGTATAAACCAACCGCTTCCGCTGGCGTAGCCAACCACTGCAGGTGAGTTCAGGATGTCGTTCGCGTAATGGATTACGTTCCCAAATGCCTTCCGAACAATCCGACTCAAGTGGAACGGAAATTTCAAACGCACCATACGATCAATTAACTGCGTAGCCGACCGCTCCATATTCATCTCGGCACAGGCCGCCAACAATTCCAAACGCGGACACACACAGTGCATTAATACATCTACTCAGAACAATGTCCCAGAACTCCCAACCAACATAGTGCACACGTGTGTGAGCACACATGTGTGTGAGTACACATGTGTGTGAGTACACATGTGTGTGAGCACACTCGTTTGCTGCTTACCCATTGAATCGCGTTTCGGTATTTCCGGAAAGTACTTTGTGAGCTGCGCCTTGTACCATTCCTCGGATTCCGGGTCATAGTCGCACTGTTCGATCAGGCCTATGTAGGCGCTCTTCGCCTTAGTATTCTGTACATCTACCAAGAACGTCATTGTAACGCAGCCGGCCGCTGGGACAACGCATTAGGGCAGGTTTACATCGTGTGGGGATCACGGTTAGGGGGTGGACGCTTACTGACTGCGTGGAGACTGGCCACGAGTTCCATGACGTAGTCTCCGGGCGGTAGTATCTCCCAGACTTCGTCTAGTGATAGGACGTCCCACTCGATGAGGAGGGCGCCGAGGATGCCGAGGCCGTAGCCGGTGACGAGTTGGTCGGGCACGAATGTTTGCATGGAGAACCTAAATGCTTCGGTGACCGGTTCGCCACGGTTGCTTCGGAAGGGAACAGCAGCGGCGCCCTTGACTAAGGCGGTCTGGATGGGGTCGTCGACGTAAATCTCGACGGTCGCGCTCCCGGCCGCCGCACTCCCGGTCGCCGCACTCCCGGTCGCCGCACTCCCGGCCGCTGCAGTCCCGGTCGCGGCACTCCCGGCCGCCGCATTCCCGTTCGCCGCATTCCCCGCTCCATTTCCTGCTGCCGCATTACCGGCCGCATTCCCCGCTCCATTCCCGACCGCGTTGTTGCCGGTCGTGGGAAAGCCGAGCCCGGTTTTGGCGGTGTGTGTGAGAAGGAGCGCGTTACGGTAGCAGGTGGCTAGGCGTCGATATTCGCGGGCGAGGGCGTAAGGTCCGAAGAAGCGGAGTGCGAGGGCCAGGACGGCGACGGCGTAGACGTTGATGCTGCCTTGAACGGAGGCCTTGGCGGTGCCGTCCTCGACCACGGTTGCGGGCACGGTGGCAGCTTCACGTCGTTCCCGACTTGCGGCGGCTATGACTCTATAATAGACAAGTAGTTGGCACTTAGGTGCTTACGTACCGTAGGACATGTCGCAAGGCGAAAGTCGGGTCCATCTGTCCCCGGGTTAGAGCGTGTGTCCACACACTCTCCAGCCCCAGCAACACTGCGTTACTCCCGGCCATGGTCTTGTCCCGCGAGTTATCATCTTCTTGTTGGGGGCCCTCTGCTTGTTGGGGTTCTTTGCCGTCTGCTTGTTGGGGTTCTTTGCCGTCTGCTTGTTGGGGTTCTTTGCCGTCTGCTTGTTGGGGTATTTTGCCGTCTGCTTGATCGAGGCATCGGCGGCATGATGGGGGTGCGAGTTGTAGGACCTGTGCCCAAGTGAGTGGCTGGTCCCAGGGCCCGATGGCACACATGCGGGTGGCTGCGCACAGAAGACTCCACCAGTAGAAAGTATCTTTGACGTTGGCCATGCTCGCGATTGTGAACTTGAGCTTTGTGCGTGTGCGTATCGCGAGTCGGTCGAGCGGTGGGAATGGTGCTTCAACCAAATCATGTTCCCGAGGGAACAGAGGCGGACGAGGCCGCATCTGTATACCTCGTTGGAATTGGCGGAAGGCGGGCACGTCCGAAAAGGCGACCAGGTGTGTAAGTGAGAGCCAACCGAAGGGAGTACAACCCACAACCGGTCGTAACTCTCCGGCCACACGCGTTTGTACCCGCAATTCGCCTTGCTTCGCCTCACGCCATGCCTTCCCTGATGCCTCCTTCAGACTCAATAACGAGAACCGCCCGTCCAACAACGGCGATGGCCAGCTCGAAACCCGTTGTACGACCAACGCCAACAGCTGCGTCACAGCCGTAGACAGCCGCGTCGATCCGCCTAGCTCCTCGGCCTTTACACCGACCGACCTCCGGCTTGATTCAACAAACAACGTTTGTTCCAGCTGGTGGTGGTGGTCCATTTCGTGGTGGTCCACATCGTGGTGGTGGTGACGGTCGTCATCAAGACGGTCGTCATCAAGACGGTCGTCATCGTGGTGGTGGTCGTCCTGATGATGGTGGTGATCCGCGTCGTGGTGATGGTCTAAAGTCGTCGTACTCAACGCCTTCACCAGGACCGAAGCCGACTGCACCACGAAGGAAAGAGAGGTCACATAGATGTGTGCTAAACGGTCACTCAGACTCACGTACCGCTGAATCGATTGCAACAATGACGTCTGCCGTACTTGTGTCGCATACACCCGACATATAGCCGCACACATCAACAAGTCGTCATCTATCAAGGCTTCAAAACCTACTGGCAATGCACCCAAATACACCAAGAAACCAGATATAAACACACGACTCAATTCCAGACTCTGTTCCCGTAATATCCCCATATTCAACGAACCCATCTGTTCATCTAAATAAATACAAACCATTCAGTGTAACTGGTGGTATATCCCACAGCCAGAGTGAGTTATATGCCGATGGGAGTAGTTACTTTTTGAGGTTGATACGATGTCAACGATATAGTTCATTAATAGTTTGTGGAGCAGCTTTCGCCTTGCGGTCACCCACTTCTCTGTGCTGTCTGCATCGTCAGGAAATTCGCAGAGCTCCGGAGGTGACCGTAATCCCATGAGTCGAAGAAACTTGTTCATATTCATTGAGAGGGGGAACATTTGATCCAGGCTGTGGTGGTCGAAGGCCAACGCCACTTGATTCAGCAAACGCGACGTGGAATCTGCAAACATATTACATGTAGAAAGTGTGTGCAAAGTGTGTGTCTTACTCCCGGCATTCTCTTGTGGTGGGGTGTTCACAGACCTCGTGCGTTTGTTCCCCGAGGACATTATATTAAATATGCCGGATGATGACGATGAGGACGAGATTGTCATCATCGAAGCAGAAAACGATGAACCCGTAAGTTCAGTACCAAAATCGCTCCTGTCGCGTGTGCCTTACTTCCATGACCGGTTCATGAAGGGTTGGTTGCTCAGTTCATAAAGGGGTGTTAAGTTCCTGACGGGCTCCTGAAGTCATTGCGGGTATGGTAGGCTGAGCTAGTCGAGGATAACACGGTCGTCAGTGAAAATTCAAGACTGTACGTCAATGCCGCTATTCGGTGGAGAAGGATCTTTCAACTGATTGAGAATATTCGAGTTAGTGAAGACGACGAGGACCGAGCAGTCGACCTTATTATGAGTCAAGTCGTTCATCGACGAGCTCTTGAACACTTGGAGACGCGAAAAGTTGTACACATGACCTACCCAGAAAGGGACAGAGAACTCTCTCAGAGCAGAGAACTCTCTCAGAGCAGAGAACTCTCTCAGAGCAGAGAACTCTCTCAGAGCAGAGAACTCTCTCAGAGCAGAGAACTCTCTCAGAGCAGAGCAGTCACCCAAGACCGGGAAGGGGGTCGCAGAGAAGCCGAAGCCGGTCAAGTGGAGACAAGTGCAGAGTCAAACAAACGCCAGTTTCAAATTCGGGTTTTGGAGACCGTTCCCGCAACAGATATCGACCGGTTGCAAGCGCCACGGAACGAAACTAGATTTGGGAAGAGCACTGTCAGCCCCGAGGGCTGTCCTGTGGAAGGAGACCAGACCCTCGTGAAAGACGGGTTGGCGAAGGACGGGTTGGCGAAGGACGGGTTGGCGAAGGACGGGTTGGTGAAGGACGGGTTGGCGACGGAAGGCCAGAAGCTCACCGCAGAAGACCCCAACCTGAATGGTGAAGGCCCGAACCTAGGTGGTGGAGACCCGAGCCTGAGTGACGGAACGACGAGTCCTCCGATTGTCGAGCAGTTTCCTGGACTGGATGTGCTGTACGCTCTGAGCGGGGGGGAGAGCGAGAGACTGGGTAGTCGTGGCTTTACCCACGGCACGACTTATGTCCCTTTGTCTCGACTAGATAAACAGCCCGCAGCCAGCGATAGCTCGGGCAGTGTAGCTACGCCGTTTTGGAACATGTCAGTGTGTTGTGTGTGTGAACAGAAATGCGGGCAGTCGTGCCCCGAGGGTCCGGGTGGTGGTGGGGTAACGAAGTGCGGTCACGTGATTTGTGCGAAATGTTCTCGAAGGCCGGGGGTGCTTCGCTGTGGCTTCTGTGGCACTCGCTTTATGAGCAAGACCACCCATAAAATCTACATCTGAGAAATCCGTTTTTGAAAAGACCATGTCATGATTTCAGGCGGTACTGCTGCTGTATCGTGGATCTCTTCGGGAACACTTCTAATATCAAGTGAGGGCGAGGTGCACACATCTCTTATACAGCTCACAAAACGTGTGCACGCACACAAAACGTGTGCACACATACAAAGCGTGTGCACACATACAAAGCGTGTGCACACATACAAAGCGTGTGCACACATACAAAGCGTGTGGAATATGTTATCGTTCTGGTAGATGCATTACAATTGTCGGAGCGAATTGGCAGGTTATTGCGACCGACGGGAGAGAGTGATGACGGTTTGTCCGCGGAGGAGCGGCACGTGTTATTTCAGCTACAGACCTACTTGGTGGGTTGTATAGAGCCGCTGTCTGTTTGCCAGACGTGGGGGGACAGGCGGGTATCCGGAGTAGATCAGATGACTAGTCACGCAGAGGGTATTATATTGGATTGCCTAAAGGCAGTTCGACCCTTGCTTTTGGGTCAACGACCGGTGGCTGCGGTCAATTACGTGGCGGGTAAGCCCTTGCGTGCCACGGATGTACTCAACAACTACCGGCAACAATTCCACTCCAAGTTGCTTATGTACGCGGAGAGATTGCGGCTGGCGAAAGAACTTCTCGTTACTGCCATGGTCACCTTGCAGGCCACAGAGTACCTGCAGAAGAAGGTGCCCGGGGAGCATCCTTTATGTCTAGTTAGTTTACTCGGTGCACACCGCAAACTTGTAGAATTGCAGCACTGCTGCGGAACCCTCTCATTCTTCAAAGGGAAAATGTATGTGACCCAAAGTTTGCAACCAAAACCCGAATTCCAACCCGACTACGTGAACAGTGTCGGCAAAGAACAAAACCGGACAAACAATGACTACGCGCCACACCTCTGGCACCGACTCCCTGGACATTACCAGCTGTCCATACTCCGGAGACAAGGCGACCGACATGAACTACGAATCGAACTGCGGAGCGGCCGGTCCAGGTACCCGCCTGCATCCACAGGCGGGACGCTGACCTCTGCTGTCGGCAACACGGCAGCCGGGAAGAGCTGTCCTCAATGGCTCCATGAGACGCGTAAAACCATCAGTCTAGATATCACAGCAAGCAAGTACATCAGCTGGTCCTTCGAGCACGACAGTCTCGAAGACCTACTGCTTGCTGGCGGGGGCACGTGTGACTGCTGTTCGTCAGCAGACAAATGGCACGAGGTAGAAGAAACGACCGGCGACGGACTCCTTCCCTACAACTCTGCAGCTCCTGACTCCTTTGAGCGTGTGGAGATCGACGTCGCGCCGCCCCCCAAAGAAACCAGTCGCCGGGCCAGGAAGCGGAGCCGGAAGCCCCCCAAACTCGGACCCGCCGCGCCACCGCGACCTCCTCCGCCGCTGCCTGTTGCAGCGGTGGAACAAAAAATTCAGGCCATTGAGCTCCCCGCTCTCCTATTCGAGGGAGGAGGACTCCCCCATGCTGCTCTCCCCGACCCGGCCGGTGAAGACGCTGACGCGGGTGAGGGAGCCCGCCGGGATGGTGCTGCTCCTGTAGCAATCTTCGTAATCTCGAGCGGCAAAAAAGAGGATGTGCTCCGCTTCATGTATTTAGCGCGGTTAATATATGCACACACGTGTGCACACGCGCGAGAGGTCGGCGGCTCGGTCAGTCACGAAAGTTTATTGAGACTGCTAACCCTGTAAACTGTCTAAAAAGGTCATGGCTGGATCGACGACCCGCTTTTCAGTGTCGATAACGATTCGTGCGTCAAGGGCGATGAGTGTTTGTGGTCCCGCAATGACCGGGTTCATCTCGCACTCCGTGACGTACTCCCAAAGGTCGACGCAGACCAGACTAAACCTTGAAATGAACGAGTACAGTTGTCCAGGGTTGCAGCCCTTGAATCGCTGGTTAGGTGATGAACTACGTTCATCGTTGTTGGTCAGAAGAGCTTTACTGATCATGGTTGACTTGACAAGTTTGGCTGCTTCTTCAATACCAAGTGGAGCTGGGGTTGTGGCAACGTCCTTGAAAATTTCCACCATGGTTCCTCCAGCTCCGAATGTAATTATGGGCCCAAGTTGCGGGTCTTGGGTGCATCCGAATATGAGTTCCGTACCGCCCTTGACATCGACACATTTCTGTACAGTTACTCCCTCAAACCCGGCGGGATCTAACTTGCGGTAGGATGTCTCGATGTCTCTAAAGGCTGCCAGTACTTGGTCTTGCGTGTTCAGGTTCAAATGGACGCCTCCAATGTCAGATTTATGAGTAAATTTCCCGCCATGAATTTTCATGACCACAGGGAAACCTCCTACGCGATTGCTGGCGACCGCCGCAACGGCCTCTTGCTCGCTGGTACACACAATGCCGGCAGCCACCGGCAGTCCATAGGCCATGAGGAGTTCCTTTGAGTCGTGTTCAGACAGCGTAAACTGTGTGCCGTGTGTGGCTTTGTAAGTCTCGATGAGCCGGTTCAGTAATTGCCTTCCACCTGCGGTTTCCTCAGCACCGAGGGACTTGGGCGCTTGGGTCATGCTCATTGCGAGCTTCTGTTGCTGTACCCAGTGCCCGAGGGCATACGCCGCCATGTCGGGTTGTTCATAGCATGGGATTCCCTGTTCGTGGAACCAGTCCTTGCTCGAACTCACCGCGGGACCACCCATCCACGAACAGACTAGCGGCCCCCGGAAGCGTCCTGCCTGCCTCGCCTTGGCCACGGTCTCAGTTACAGCTTTTGCTGTCTCCAGAGGTCGCGTGACCGACTGCGGCGAAAGCAACACGAGCAAGGCTGTGTCCGGACTGAGTCCCGAATCACGGCCGTTAGGCGCGTTCATTTCGTCTATGAGGGTCTCGAGCGTCCGTTGATAGCCGTTTTCCGTGGCGTCTCCGAGCACATCGATAGGGTTATTCCTGGACCAAGCAGCGGGGAGGATTTGGCTGAGTTTGGCAATCAGGTTGGGCTGTAGGTGGGCGAGTTGCATTCCAGCGCCGCAGACGGCGTCCGTGCAGAGGACACCAGGGCCGCCTGCGTTGGTTATGACGACGGCATGTTCGGACCTGGGAGCAGGCTGTTTTGCCATGAGAAGCGCGACGTTTTCGAACTCCTTCATCGAGCCGACAACCTGGCAGCCGCAACGGCGCAAAGCTGCGACAAAGGTGTCATAGCTGCCGGTCATGGAGCCGGTGTGGGAGACGGCGGCAGCGGCCGCCGCCTCGGTCTTGCCGGCTTTGATGACAATGATTGGCTTGCGCCGGGCCACGGAGGTGGCTGCGGCGACGAACCCGCGAGCGTCGCCGATGCTTTCCATGTACATGATGACCGCCTGAGTGTCTGCGTCCTCGCCGAAGTAAGTGAGCAGACTACCCCAATCGACGTGGGCCATGGAACCCAGAGATACGAAAGCGGAAAATCCAACTCGAGTCTCCAACGACCAGTCCAGCACCGCTGTACACATCGCCCCGCTTTGGGAAATGAAGGCCACCGGTCCCGGCCGCGCTGGCGCTGCCGCGAAGGAGGCGTTCAGCAGGTGGTGTGGAGACTGTACACCAAGACAATTCGGGCCCACAATGGCCATGTTGTTGTGGGCCGCAATCTCCACTAATTGCTCTTCCATCTTCAGACCCTCCGCCCCCACCTCTTTGAAGCCGGCCGCGATCACCACCACGCCCCGCACTTTGCCGCTTGCTGCACAGTCCTCCAACACCTGTGCACACACTGCCGCCGGTGTCACTACCACCGCCAGGTCCGGAGTGCCCTCAATCGCCGACACCGACGGCCAACATTTGTCGCCCAATACACTCACACGCTTCGGATTCACCATATACAACTCGAACTGCCGACCTTCCGCTTGCAAGTTCCTGCAAATCGTATTACCCACACTCCCTTCGCGATTCGTCGCACCCACCACTGCCACCCCCCGCGGACGCATAATCGCCTGAATATGTTCCATTCCAATCATACTAGCAGGTGTCAACAACCTACAACAGACTTCTTCCACCACTTGGGACTATTTCCCCACTTGGGACCACTTCCAAACAAGACTGTTCCAACCATGGCAGGGCTGCTCCCACGAGGGCAGGGCTGCTCCCACGAGCGCAGGGCTGCTCCCACGAGGGCAGAGCTGTTCCCACCAGGGCAGAAGTTCGAAGCCAGGGCAGGGTTGTCAGTTCGGAGCGAGGTGTAAGTCCCCTGCGGACCACTTACGAGGTGCATTGACTCATTTTAAATAAGCGAAAAAATCAACCATTCGAGCTGCCCGACTTCAACGGATTTGCCATTCGGGCCTTCCGGAGCTGCATGTACCGCTGCGAACCCCTGATGAACGAGAAGATTGCTGCTACGGCCGGAATATGCCGGCAGAAAGTCAGGGTGCCGATGAAGGCGACCATCAAACTTGTCACCACACGAGCCTTACCAGACCAACACAGGATCACAATCGCTGCTATCCGAAACGGGCTTTGGAAAAACTGAACGAAATCAATTAAACCAAAGCAGCCCAATTATACAAGCTGTGGCACTGCACACACTGTGCTGTAACACTGTGCTGTAATATGTGCCGTCAGATTTGTGTCATAGCCATATTGCTGTGTGCACAGTGTTGTTATACCCTCGTCGTGTGTGATTACCCTCATGAGAGAAGCTTGGAAATGTTCCGTTCTTTCTTTGAACGCATCGCGGAGGACCCTGGTCTTAAGGGCTTTGACCCAGAGTTCAACAATTCTTATCCTTCTGACAGTGGCAACGTTAACAGACTGTTCAATGGGGCGCACTAGCATTTCGGCTCCCTGGATTTGTTGGATCTTTGAAATCAGCGCAGAAAATCTATTGTTGGCTTCAGCAGTAGGCCTAGTTGGAATGCCCACTTCCGTGACGAAGAATAAACTGAACCACTACAGGAACAAAGTGGCAACAAACTGTGGCGGCAGAAGTGCTGGGGAGAGATTTTCGGGGGGGGGGAGGTGGCTTACTCCGACCATAATACTATACAAAAGGGCACTCTGTGGGGCGGCGAATGGGAGCCAGACGACCAGAACGAGACAGAGCGTGGTGAGGGGTCTTTTGAAGTGTGTAATCTCGTGCACAAACTTGGAGATTCGGGCAATGGGCCCGACAACGAGGTACTCGGCGAGTGTGAAAAGGTCCTCCACGATGGCTACGTAGCTCATGCGGAGTCGTTCTTCCTGTGGTATGTCCGCCTTGGTGTTCTTGAGGTAGGTGACGACGGCCTCGCTGCCGAGGTCATCGAAGCCTTCAGTGAGTGCGAAGATAAGTGAGGTAATGGCGTCTAGGAGGGAGAGTAGACTAACGGTGCCATCTTCTTTGGCTACGCTGAATATATCGCAGCCGGTGATAGCGACCAGCTCGTCATCTTCGAGAGACGGGTCCACAAGCGCTTGAGGCGTCCACGGCCCGCGAGGTAAAGAGAGCGCAGCCACTTCCCTCAGGACCACAGTCCATCCGCGCCCAGGCATCGAGAGTGTTAAGGAGACATACAGCCGGGCTATCATGGCCACCGGCTCATGTGCAACCAACTCCTCCTTGCCCATAAGCGCCTGCAACGAGTAATACTGTGGCAAGGTACAATGCACGCTGATCACCAGATCCAAGTTACGCCCCGGATGTAGACAGTGGATCGGGATAGTAGCACTCGCCAAGAGTATCTCACTCAAGGCAATATCTGCGCAAAAGTCCTTCTCAAATAGCTGAACGGTTAACAACGACGCTGGCGTATGGATACCCAATTTCAGCTCCTCGTTAAAATCCACCTCATGGATCGAACTTAGTACTAATGGTGTCGTCGGACTGCCAGGCGCTGTAGACGTAGGCGTCTTGGGCCAATCCTGGCCCTCCGTCGCCATGCTCTCCACCGGCAACCGCAGCGGCTCAGACAACTGACCTATCTTGCTCTGATACACAGCCTTGTCATTGACATATGCCCGAACTACAAAACAACCTCTCATGCCCTTCTTCCGGTTACCCGCCCGAAGCTGGCACCCTCGTCCATCGCACATGTGCATATGCGTGCGCACCGCACATGTGTGTATCCTGCCGCGTGTATGTAATTACTCAGGGGAAAGAATGGAGGAATATCTGTCGGTAGTTCTTCGGGATGGACGCTCGGCGCGGCCGTGCCGCCCGCCGCTGAACTCCCTCCCCCTCCCCCTGCCCCTTCAGACGTCGTAGGCTGCTGCGTGCCGGCACTCTGCCGATAAACTTCCACCACCGTTTTCGTTACGATTAAAGATAACTCGGCATACCCTTCCGCATACGAAGCGTCCGCAGATTCAGAAGGCTTCGTCAACGCATTCCAAACTGAAAATGGCTGCATCGGACTAGAATTTGCCGGCCGACCTGGACGGGTCACCATCTTCCCCGATAAACTGTTCACTACATGATACCCCTGAGGCAGAACTTGAGCTTCCAACCAATAAGGAGCAAACTGCCTGCTCAAGTCCTCAACCACAGTCGTTTTCTGTTTCATTCTCAAAAATGCAAATTACTACACAACCTCCTGACCACCACACTTCCGGGAGCCACCGCTCCCACAAGCATTGACATGGGCACAATAAGCAAACGCGATGCTTATCGTGCTACCGATGGTAACAGGGTACTATAGGAGGGCAGGCGTTACCCAACAGCCCTACGCTCTTGATCAAGTCATCCCACAAATTGGGATTCCGTGTCTGCACCATGGCACCCACATCTTGAAGTCGAGCGTGCAGCGCAGAGATCTTTGTGCGAAGGCAGTGGTACCGAAACTGCAGACTCTGCCGCAGGGTCTCCTCAGAGCTTTGGACCAGGGGAAACCGCAGCAGCTCTACAAATTTGTACTCAATGTTCTGCACGAAGCTTAAATCGGCTCCCCCATCGTCATGCAAGACCACGACAGCCGTAAACCTAAAGTCAAGAGTATTCATCAGAACCCAGCACACATACTTAGCCCATGATATATACCTAACATACGATTCAATGCCAAGCCCAGGATATATGTAAAGCCCTTAATACCGAGCCCCGGTACATGTCTAGCCCGGCATATGCACCTAGGCTGGTATATATACCCAGCATACGTCACAAAGCGACATCTACCGGCATGACTAGGACGAGTTCTCCTCCCCGTGCTTACGTTTTGGGATTCTGAATAGAGCTGTTGCACATCTTCATGATGACTGAGGGGTAATCAGCCATGTCGACCAGCAAATTCTGGTCGCCACATATTTCTCGGAATGTTTCTCGCGTTATCCTGAAGAAGTGTGCCATCTGGAAGGGAAGACGGAGGAAGCAACTGGAAAGGAGCAGCTTGGAGGAAGACCCGGGTATCCTTGGTGTCGGCGATGCTATACGGCTTACTTGTGTGTGAAGTGAAGGAACAGTTCATTTTCACTAGTTACTTCGATCTTCACTTGTTCCGGTTCGCACTCCGTGCCTTTGATGAGTACTTTGATATTAAGGGGCTCAACAGCCCCCATGCTGCCCATTAGCCTTTGAAAGGTCCCGACTCTCATTTCGCCTGGTACTTGCCGGTTATACATCATGGTCCAGCCACCGGACAGAGCGGGATCCAGTTCATCGAGTGCAGTGAAGTCGAACTCGCAGAGGAAGTCTTGTCCAACTGCTTCGCAGCACGGCTTCACGGGACGACGGTGTAGGTTGCGGCTCATGGTGCGGTTGCGAAGGTGCCGAATTCAGGGTGCGTTCTGCGAGGATAAAATCAAGCTTTTAATTAGCAGGTCAAGACCACGGGTGTCGTCGTCGTCTTCATGGGCCAGTATTAACGCGATCTCACGCCACAGATTTTCGTACTCTCTGTCGGAACCGGTTCGGGGACTTCCTCCCGGGGCGGCCCTGAGAGGACTGTCACCAAGGTCGGGAGCCGTTTGGAAGAAGATGGTTGGCGATGAAACAGGGGACCTGGCTCCTCCTTCGCGCGGGGGTGTGTCAATAAACAAGCTTGGCAAGTTATCATCAAGTCTCCACCTGTCAATTTCAGTTTGGCTACAAGCCTCGGTCGAAGCCGCCGAGATCACGTGCGAGGCCGGGGAAGCGGGTTTGCCGCGCTGCTGCAAGATGGTCTGGTACTTTTCAAGCGTCATGCGGGGCTTTAGTTCGGCGGGCGAATGTGCTGCGGAAAAAGATTAAGGAATTGAAGTCTTGTTACCAAATGGACAGAAATATCGCTTGCAGTTTGGCTGAGCCCTGCACAACTTTGTCTTATAAATCATGGGGTGATATAGCTCCTCTTCTTTCGAGTGTGCATAAGGACATTGTCTTCCTCTGTTGCATTTCCGGACTAAGGTCATTCGGTTGTTCCTTCTTATGAATTCTATTTCGGGGCATAACGTAGCGCTGCGAAAGTGGAGAATGATGTCGATGAAACTTACGAATAAAAAAATAGTAGTGGATTCCGTCGCTGCCACGTCAAGCAGTGAGAGCTAGCACACCTGTCCGGAAGCGGACACGCTCCCTTGCAGACGGCGTCGCATAACTGCGTCCTGAATAGTGCGAGCTCCTCAAGCGTTAACAATTGATGAAAACCGTCATCCGCCGGCTGGATCTTAAAATTAGCGTTATAATTCATCCCACTGTTGGCCGTAGCAGCTTCTGAGTCACCTGAGGTAACAAGGGAGGCCTTAAATCGGTCCATTCCGGATAAGATCGCCCGAAATAAAAGTGTGTGCTCGAGCGAGAGATTTGAGCAAACGCGCGCCGCACTCTTTTTTGAAGCGGTTGAAGGCACTCTAAACGGTTACTGAGAGATCTGACGCTTAATTGGTGTCAGATACCTATTTTCCGGCCAGCGGAATTTATTGGGAAAGCGAGATCCAGCCCGGCATGCCTAATCAATAAGGTTTCGATCTGTTGTCCCGAGAGTCCCCAGACCTCCTTTGGGGTCGGAATTCATTTGATTCAGCCTGGCAAGCAGATTCCTCTGCCAACCGCAAAACATTTTGGGCTTCCAGTTCATTTTCAACTTCAGTGAGGCAAAAGTCGCATTTTATGCAGATCATACGAGCAAGGAACATGGACCAGGATCTGAGTCCATGTTTGTTCTGCATGGGAATAGGTGTGGTTAGAACGCCAACACGGAGGTAAAGAAGTCACCGAGACATGGATGAAGTGAAGTGGTTGATGCGCGGGATCTTCTTATAGGGGGACGTTTGAAGGAGATTGCTTACAACGAATGAAGTTAGTTTTTCTTTGCATTGAAAGAGATTTTGTCTGAAATTATCTAGTTGTGTAGATATTGTCCACTTATCTGTCTTTTGTAGCACTGGTGACGGGCCTAGTCCCAGACAGTACGCGATGAGCTCGTGGCGTGATTCACCATTTTCCGCAGACCACAAAAGAGTATCAGGTAGTGTAAATGGAAATAGTAGATTGCTTCCGGATTCCGAGTCGACTAGACCGTGATCAGTGAGGCAAAAGTCTTGGACTGTGGTGGGAATTTTGGACGCATTTTTTGGCAGACCGTCGTAAGTAAGCCCATATCGGGAATCGCCTCGATCGTCGCGGATTTTGGTTCCATCCCCGCCCCCGTTGTGCGTGTCATTTCTTTTGTACCGGTTGTTGACAAGCACGGAATTCTTGGCGAACGATTTTTCCTGGCTTTGGTGTGAGTGGGTCCCGAGTGGTATGCGGGTCTGGTAAAGCAGAAACAAGTCAAGCTGCACCCCCAGCATTATCCATGGCCATGTCTTTCGTATGGGGGATGATTTCCTGACCCACATTGTGTATGGATTACACTTGGTTACTGTTTCGATAAGTCTAGGAATTTTTCGAACAACATTATTAGATACATACTCCCAACACTCCGCCAGACATCTACCTTTCACCGCGAGATATGTTTCCAGAAATTTACACACGAAGAAGAATTCACAACGCCTTCTAGATATAAGATTCTTTCTGTCAAACATATGACTGAAAGGATCCCGTTTACGAAGGCTGCAAAGACATTCGTATAATAGATTGATTTGCGAACGAAATGAGACATTGGGCATAATTCTTCGGCATCGAACAATTATCCTTTCCAACAATTCATCTGGACTTGGGAAATTCACTGTACCGACAGCGATGTTGGAGGCGGCAGTTGGATCTGGTAGAACCAAGTAGATTCTATAGAGCAATATTGCTAGGACGAAAACGGCAGATCTTGATAGCCCTTTATGACAATGCACAAATAAGCCAGGAGCATGGTAAGTGGAGTCATGGTAAGTGGAGTCATGGTAAGTGGAGTCATGGTGTTGGGATGAGCCTGTACGGTCTATTGAGTCGATTGTAATTTCTGGTGTATATTTTGTCATATCCCCAGCATACAAATCTTGTTCAAGGTGTTGCAGGCATGCTCGAACGTCTTTGATAACGGCATAGTCAACGGTATCAGGTATCTCTAAGCAGTAAATACGGACTCCCGTGTGTTCTAGTGCCACTACGTCGTATTCAAACTCGGGCTGAACCAAAGACACGATAGCACCTATCCCTAGACGAGCCATGGTTCTGGCATCCCGACACCTGTCCGAAGATCCAATATACAGAAACCCGGGCACTATTGGATCTACCTCGTTATCTATTTGACCTTCCCGAGCAGCCCGTAATGCTTCTAATAACTCCTGGGAACATTTTGCTTCACCACTCTTGTCTATATGGCCATTAACTCCACCACTATTATGTGGAATAGAACACAACTCCAAACCACCCTCTCCAAAACTGACCAAATCCATAAAACTGACCCTTGTCATGACTGGTAACGACGGGCTACTCATGTCCAACCCTCTACCCCCAACAGCGAGTATTTATTACCAAATCTGCGAACGATGCAATCGGACGATATCAGTTGTATTCATTGGCTCTGAGAATACCCCAACGAGTGTCTCATGAGTGACTTGACTCGTAACCGCGAATGACTAACCTTCGAAGGTTGTTTCTGCTTTAATTGACCAAGTAAACCCCCCCCC